CTGGTCTGCCCCTCTACTTGGTGAAGACCATTAGTAACTGTCTCGCGAGCTCAGGAACTTGCAGTGTCAGTGCTTTCCTCTGGTAATTTGCAGCAACACTCTGATCAGCCGGAGCTAGGAAGACAACTACTTATGGTCTGCAGCCAATAGACGTGTAAGCCAAGTCAACCTTCCATGACATGTTCACTTACACTAATACAATGTTAGGTTAAACATGTCAAACATGTCAAATAGTCCGATTCTGTAGACCAAAATGAGAGGCTTCTGATTGGCCAAGCTACTTCCTAGAATGTTAGACCAAAGGCTGATTTGCACAAAAAGAAAGACTTGTAAATGTTAGCATTTTGTTTTTATCTTTTATTTTGGATTTGGCTCTTTTTAATATATTCATAAATCTCTAAAGTGCTTTAAAATGTACTGGCCAATTCCATTCAAGAATGGAACTTTACTTAGTCTTCATCCACTACAGTTCTTTAAAGCACTTAACCTTTCTTTGATTTCAATACACATAGGCACTTTTCTTTGGTATAACCCATGGCTGCCAATCAGACAACCAGTTCTGTTACTTCCTGGTTTGCTTAGTTCAGTGCAGCAAAACACAAGAGGCAGCAATTTGCTCAGGGCACCTGCCTTGCAAAGACTTCTCATTGAGCTGCATTGGGAAGTCTGTGATTGGACAGCCACAGAAAGTCTGGGTGGGGTTAGAAGGGGAGAGCTTCTTACCATGTCATTAGATAAATAACACTGTTGCACGTATGATCACTATTGATAGCTCACAGGGGTTACTGTGGTCTCAGAGCACAAGCAGCGGATATTGTATGTTTTCACCCATGAACAATACCTACTCTAGAATAGATGGATTTTTTCTGAGAGGCACACATCTTAACCAACTGGTCCAATGTGACATAAAACCAATAACTTGGTCAGACCATGCACCTGTAACCCTAGAGCTGAAGGATCTCTATGATTTTAAAAATAGAAACCCCTGAAGACTTAATGATTCTCTATTACACAACACCAAGTTTACCACCAATGTTGATTTGGCACTGCAATTCTACTTCACAGAAAACACATCTGACGTGACCATGGACACCGTGTGGCTAGCACACAGACCTGTAGAATGAGGACTTTTGATACAGAGAGCATCTCAACTACGAAAATTATCTCAAGCACAACTAAAAAAACGTCAGCAGGAATTATATGATCTCAATATCAGAAATCAACTGACACCATCCCAAACACTTAATATCAGAAATCAACTGACACCATTCAAAACAGTGAAGGACAAAATCGTCCACTTAAATAGGTTTATCCACCAACAGGACATTGAAAAATAGGGTTACCATCTTAGAAAACGTAAAGCATGACACGGCGCCCAAGGGAAAAAGGCTAGCCGAATGTTAGAAAATAGATTGAAAGCACAACAAGCCTCTCAAAAAATAGCGCACCTCATCTCTCGGAGTGGGACTAAACTCACATCACCGAGAGATATTCGTAATTAATTCGCTCGATACTATGCCGAACCATACAACTTGAAAAACAGCAGCCATACACATCCACCCTTAGCAGCCGAAATTAATACATATCTCAACAAGATAAATGTTCCACAACTTTCCACTATTCAACAGGCAGAACTTACATGCCCAATAACAGACCAAGAGGTCGCAAATCACCAGGCAAATCACCAGGCCCTGATGGGCTAGATAACCTTTACTACAAGAAATTCCAGAAAACTTTAACACATCACTTAGTCTGCACATTCACAGAGGCTACCTCAAATGAAACCTCTCTGAGAGCATATAGCTAGGTACCAAAAGATTGTGGTGAGACCAAACATGATAAACAGGAGTCCCAGAACATCTTCATTTTGGTTGTGCTCTTCATTAAATTGTGGGGTGTCCATCCATGTAAGCCCATGTTAGCTAAGTTGCACCTAATGTGTTTTCATTGCTGATTTTGCTGTATGATTTTTTTTTTTTATCACTTTCATATTCTACATGTTTGTATTGAAAGTACCTTTTCAAACTATGTATCCAAATGGCTTTGGTAATACTACCAATGCTGAAAATTAAATTATTTGTTTCCCCGGGTATGCTTGCGTCTGCCTCCATATCATTTTGTGTGTAGAACTGAGCCGATAGTTTATATAAATCCCTGTCAACCCCTAGGAGGTCCATATTGATTATTTACTAAAGTGTGAATTGTCATCAATTCACAGTTTATATGACTTGGATAATTTTTCCAATCCGACTAATATGGCCGAAATTTAGAATTCACTTTCACTTGTTGAATAACCCAATTTTTGAGAATTTCTGAGAATTTTCCAAAATAACTCTTTTGACAGATAATTTTATCTTTCAATTCAGACTGTAGTGGACAACCGTACATGCAAACCTAACTATTGACCTATTCACATAAAAGAAACATAGAAAGTGACGGCAGATAAGAACCATTCGGCCCATCTAGTCTGCCCAATTTTCTAAATACTTTCATTAGTCCCTAGCCTTATCTTATAGTTAGGATAGCCTTATGCCTATCCCACGCATGCTTAAACTCCTTTACAGTGTTAACCTCTACCACTTCAGCTGGAAAGCTATTCCATGCATCCACTACCCTCTCAGTAAAGTAATACTTCCTGATATTATTTTTAAACCTTTATCCCTCTAATTTAAGACTATGTCCTCTTTTAAATATAGTCTTCTCCTTTACTGTGTTGATTCCCTTTATATATTTAAATGTTTCTATCATATCCCCCCTGTCTCGTCTTTCCTCCAAGCTATACATGTTAAGATCCTTTAACCTTTCCTGGTAAGTTTTATCCCATAATCCATGAACCTGTTTAGTAGCCCTTCTCTGAACCCTCTCTAAGGTATCAATATCCTTCTGAAGATACGGTCTCCAGTACTGTGTACAATACTCCAAGTGAGGTTTCACCAGTGTTCTGTACAATGGCATGAGAACTTCCCTCTTTCTACTGCTAATACCTCTCCCTATACAACCAAGCATTCTGCTAGCATTTCCTGCTGCTCTATTACATTGTCTGCCTACCTTTAAGTCATCAGAAATAATCACCCCTAAATCCCTTTCCTCAATTGTTGAGGTTAGGACTCTATCAAATATTCTGTACTCTGCCCTTGGGTTTTTACGTCCAAGATACATTATCTTGCACTTATCCACATTAAATGTCAGTTGCCACAATTCTGACCATTTTTCTAGTTTACCTAAATCATTTTCCATTTGGCTTATCCCTCCTGGAACATCAACCCTGTTACATATCTTAGTATCTTCAGCAAAAAGACATACCTTACCATCAAGACCTTCTGCAATATCACTAATAAAAATATTAAAGAGAATGGGTCCAAGTACAGATCCCTGAGGTACCCCACTGGTGACAAGTCCAAGCTTCGAATATATTCCATTAACTACAACCCTCTGTTGCCTGTCACTCAGCCACTGCCTTACCCATTCAACAATATTGGAATCCAAAGTTAAAGATTGCAGTTTATTGATAAGCCTTCTATGTGCAACAGTGTCAAAAGCCTTACTGAAATCTAGGTAAGCAATGTCTACTGCACCACCCTGATCTATAATTTTAGTTACCCAATCAAAAATCAATAAGATTAGTTTGGCATGATCTCCCTGAAGTAAACCCATGTTGTCTCTGATCTTGAAATCCATGTGTTTTTAGATGTTGAACAATCCTATCCTTTAACATGGTTTCCATCACTTTCCCCACTACTGAAGTAAGGCTTACTGGCCTATAGTTGCCCGACTCCTCCCTATTACCTTTCTTGTAAATGGGCACAACATTCGCTAACTTCCAATCTTCTGGGACTACTCCTGTCAACAATGATTGGTTAAATAAATCTGTTAATGGTTTTGCTAGTACACCACTAAGCTCTTTTAATAGCTTTGGGTGTATTCCATCAGGTCCCATTGACTTATTTGTCTTTACTTTTGACAGTTGAAATAGAACCTCTTCCTCTGTAAACTCACGTGTAATAAATGACTCATTTATCCTTTTTCTCAACTGAGGTCCCTTTCCTTCATTTTCATCTGTAAACACAGAACAAAAATATTCATTGAGGCAGTCAGCTAGATCTTTATCCTCTTCTACATACCTTCCTTCTTTTGTTTTTAATCTAACTAATCCTTGTTTTACTTTTCTTTTCTCATTTAAAAAAAGTTGAACAAGGATCGCAGGGAACTAGTAAAACTGAGCTAAACATTCAGGAAGAGTTCTACCGATGGGTACGTAAGCATTTCAATTTAGACTTTCAGAAATATTTGAATCTGCAATTAACTAAATAAATTCAAAAAAATGCACAAGACACATTATTTTTTTATTACTGTGTAAATCACAATTTTCGCCCCCAACAAACAGTAACACCAGTGAAGGAACACACTAAAAGTGGGGTTATAAAATATTGAAAAACAATTATTATGTTTTGGATGTGAGAACAAGGAAGAGAGAAGAGCCCTGTATATGAGGAGTTTAAGGCCTTCTATCAATTTGTTTTTGCACATGCAATCTAGTATTTAATCCTGAGGTTAATACCCAACGGTATTACGCTATTTTAGTGGGGGGGGGGGGTTTTATTGTAGATATCGATGTGTGTTCTATACATTATTTATTACTGCCTAACAAAAATAACAACCTAATTTACCCGTTCTAAAATAAAAAAAAATTATAACAAACAATATTATCATTGCAATAATAAGTTTTTCTTTCATTAAGAAAAGAGAAAATGATAGCTCAAAGCATTTACAGTAAGAATTATGTTCATTTTGTTTCCAATCTCATTGTGGCAAACACATACAAAGTGTTATTAGCAGATTTATTTCCCTAATGAATGTTAATAAAATCATCCTCTAATAAGTAAACTAATTGACAGTTTTAGGTTTTATATTAAAATTTATTACTAGCTTATGGAAATGTGTACTTTAATAAATCTTTAATTTCAAAAGAAACAGAGCCCAGTAAATATAAGTTGGAACCAGTGGCAGCTTGTGAAGTTTTAAGATGGTGGGGAAACAGACTCCGCCCCCAGAATTTTACTACTCCCTATACAGTACATAGACACTCGAACAATACAGAGAGCTGAGCATAATACAGAGATGCTCATACAATAAAACAAGATGGGAACAACGAAAAGTGCTGAGTACAATACACAGATAATCCTACAAAATTCATAGAGCTGAATACAATACCGAGATAATCATACAACAAACAGCTGAGACAAAAATATATAATAAAAAAATATATATATTACATAGATATAATGCACAGAACTGGGCACATACAATACACCGAGCTAGGTAAACTACAGAGATACGCATACAACAGGCAGAGCTGAGTAAAATATGTGTGTGTGTGTGTATATGTGTGTGTATATATATATATATATATTTTATATATATCCCGCAAAAAATGCAACTTCACCTGTGTTTCTATTAATTCCTAGTTTGATTTTCTTGCACACTTTTGTGTCTTTTATCACCTCTTTTGATTGTCTTACCCACATTAGAATATATTATCCACACATTTTTCCCATTTCTGTGTCTTACACCCCTCTTGTGTGTCTCTTACAACCCACCCCTTTGTGCATCTCTTACTTCCTTCCAGAAACTTTGTGTTTCAATTTTTACTCTTCTCAAGTCCTTCTGTGTGTATTTCTCCCCAAGCCCCTTTTGTGTGTCTGTCAGCCTCAGCCCCTTTGTTTATTTCTCCTCTTCTCCAGCTCCTATGTGTGTCTCTTGTTCCCCTTTACCCAGCCCCTTTGTGTGTCACTTGTTCCCCTTTTCCCAGCACCTATGTTTGTCTCTTTCTCTCCATCCCCCTTTGTCTCATTCTTTCTCAGCCCAACTGTGTATCTTTCTTCCTCCAACCCCTTTGTGTGTCTCCTGTTCCCCTTTTCCCAGTACTTCTCTTTGTCTCATTCTTTCCCAGGCCCTCTGTGTATCTTTCTTCCTCCAACTCCTCTGTATGTGTCTTTCTACCCCCAGCATCTCTGTGTGTCTCTTTTTTTTTTTTCTCCAGCACCTCTGTGTTTCTCTTTATCCCCGTTCGGCCCCTCTATGTGTCCCCCCAAGCCACTTTGTGTTTTTCTTTTTTCCTCTCAAAATCCCTCTGTGTGTTTTTCTTCCCCAAGCTTATCTGTGTTTATTTCACCCCATTCCCTATATGTGGCTGTCCCCTTCCCCCTGCCTTTTGTGGTCTCTCCTCCTAATCCCCTCCTGTGCCTTCGGACCTCCCTCTTGTTGCATGGCCGGGTAGAGGATCTTCTGTTTCCTGTCTGACAGGAAGCTGTTCTAGAAAGGTTTGTACTTATTGGTGTGAGATTTAACATTTTTCTCTGTATGACATACCAGGACTATCACATAAATCTTCGCAATAAGTGACATTATTGTCACGTCTGCGGTTAATAAGCACCCATCACCAACCCTATATTAATTCGGTCAACTATTTAGAACTGTTTTTCAAAATTGTGATTAAAGGAAAACTCTCAGTGGTTTTCACCATAGTCCGTTATATGTTCAGTTTAGTTATTTCTGTCTAACGTTCAAAATTAACTTCTCAACAATTCTCAATGTGTGCTGAAAACGGCATATAACAATGTATCTTTCATTAGCCGAAGGACTGACCTCTGCAGGAAATATGGATCCACCTGCATTTTGTAAAAAACTTACATTCTTATTAATTCCACTCAAATGCTTCTCAAAGAGAGAGCTGAGGACAAATCTACAGGAACATACCTCTAAACATGGATAGTCACCCTTGGATGTACCACAAAGATCTTTACAAGTGTTATCATCAGTTCACCTCATGGTGATTTTTCTTAATTTCCAGGGTTATAAGTGGGTTTTTAACTGAATTAAAAGTGAATTTAAGGCCAGTTTCCTTGAATTTAAAGTTCACTTTAGGAAATTACTCTGACAGTCAAGGGTTTGTCAGTCTGTCAGTAATTAAGCTACAATCATTCTTTGTACTATCATTAAATCCTGGACATGTTACTGTTGTCAATTGTAATACATTAAAACACAATAAAAACTATTTATACACATAATATGTGGAATTCCTTCTAAATACGAGATACCCTAAGATACCCAAAAGCAGTTCTTAAAGTGGCTGGCCAATCAAATTCTTGAAGAGTGGGTGAAGTCTTGATTGATGCTTCAATACGAATGCTTAGTCATGAATGCATTTGTGTTTTTCTTCTACATAATGCAGCCCAGATGGGATTCTATTGAAGTCAAAACAGCTCAATCCTAGCAAAAAGTAGTCAATACACTGTTCAACATAAAATAAGTGTATGTTTGTGTTTTCTTTCTAATTCTTAAAAGGTGATCATTCGCCTTCCATTACAATGGTTAGATTGTTTGTAAAACTTGAGAAAATGTGTGTGTGTGTGTGTGTGTGTGTGTGTGTGTGTGTGTGTGTGTGTATATATATATATATATATATATATATATATATATATATATATATTATATTTTTCCAAAATACATTTTTAAATGATAACAAAAATTATATGAATGCGAGGGAGAATGCTCACTTGAGCTCTTCCTGCTCAGCTCCCTCACGCGCCGCTTAATGAAGCCGGGAGTCGGAATATGACGTCACTCCGACTCCCGGCATCGCTAAGCGACATGCGAGGGAGCTGAGCAGGAAAATCAGAGCTCCCTCGCCAGCTACTCAGCCTGAGTGTTGGTAGGTGGGTGTGTGTGTGTGTGTGTGTGTGTGTCGGTCAGTGAGTGTGTGAGTCTGTCAGTGAGTGTGAGTCTGTGTGTCGGTCGGTGAGTGTGTGTGTGTCTGTCTATCAGTGTGTCAAATCAGTGAGTGGGTGTGCATGCCACTGTTTGTCAGTGAGTGGGTGTGTGTGTCCGTCAGTGAGTGTGTATGTGTTGGTCAGTGAGTGAGCGTCTGTCAGTCAAAGTGCGGCCTTGACAGGAAGGGGTGGGGAAAAGTTAAATTAGGCTGGGGGTGGGGATGTTCATGCACCATCCTGCCTAGGGCAGCACAAATCCTAAATACACCACAGACCTTATCTCCTCTAATGTTACCCTGATATTGCACAGTATTTTTACTTTTCCAAGACATTAGTTCTATATCAAATTAGTACAGTTTACAGAGCAGAATTCTTTATTTTTTTTTTTAAGGAGGACTTTCCCCTGTTTTTTCCCAATAGTACAGTAGGAGATTATGTTTAAGGGAGCATTTCAATGATTCCAATAAGATGCCTACAATGATGTCCTCTCATTTATATTTATAAATAGTGTAAAAAAATATAATACCTAACAGTGTATCGATACATACAAATACTCGTAACAACCAAAGCATATAGACCTACACAAGGCTGTACATCTGCTTGTCTGCTTTCTTTGGGTATTAATTTTTTTTTAGAACACAGACATTTTTTATGTTAGCACAGAGTGTTCCTCAATTTGCTCATACAGTAACATAACATACAATGTATTTGTATTCCGCGAACAGTCTGGTTACAGCCTCGGGCACTTCAATCATGCGGACGTCTGGCTGATTTCTACCTGGTGCAGCTGGTGCACACAATAATAATTGTTACGCTATGCCTAAAAAGCCCTGCCAAACCAAGGGGAATAAAATGCCAATTACTATACCTGATCTAGATAATACAGAATATTTTAGTACATTGAATAAGTCTACATTAGATTCACAGGTGCAGCAATATCAGAACCAGGGAGTCCGTTATTTGCAAATGTCTCTAGGCATACTCAGAGGCCTACAGGGGAAGCAAGGGACCTGTATTAAAACAAGCAATAGTTTTTTCTGATTCCTCATGGCAAATACATATAGAGACAGAAACTGTCAGGAAATTGTCATTGAAACCTGGAGGCGTTTGCAACAGCTGAGCATATGAATTGGAGAACGGAGGGAACAGAGATCTTTGCTGACAATTCAGCCATTAGGAATTCCTTGCACCTCCTTTCAGACCAACAAAGAATTGTTCGATTTGATCCTCTCCGGGCTGAAGATGTGCAAGAGAAAGGTATCAGTTGGATCTGCACAAATATATAGACAAAACCATAAACAAAAATTAGTCATCTTTATTTCCAGAGCAAATAATATCCAGGTGTTAGTTAAACAATTCCCTTCCAAATCTATTGGGAAGTGAGCAAGACTTGGTTTGAAAATGCAATGTAAAACATTTATTTTAATCCCCAACTTTAGTTTTACCTTGACTTCAATTTTAGTCTTCACGGCAGGTGAGAGACAAATTACAGCAGCAATACCAACTCAAACTGCCCTATATAATACAGATGCCTGGTTTTAGCTAAGTAACTATATTTACTGTAAGAGGCATTTTTACCTACATAATTACATTATTTTTACATTTAAGTAACATTTTTTGTTAATTCAAAAAAACTTCTTTGCTTTTTTATTTTTACTAATATATAGGTATATGGGCACTTCTAGTTATTGTTTTGTTTTTAATATTCCTGCAGATATAATTTAACTTTTATACTAGGTTTGTTGAATTTGTCAGAAGAATTGCAAGATAACATTCTACACTGTAATACGTTTACTCTCCCTTCCCCTTCTGATCCCTAATTAGCACTCTCTATGCTAAATAGTTTCTTGGCCTATGTTTATGTGCTAACTATGCCCTATTCATAATGAATGCTACTCTGTTTGTGTATAAATGGAATAGCTAACAGCATGGGCGTCCACAGGAATTTTTTCAGGGGGGGGCATAATTGTAATGACATCCATGCTTGGCCCCTTTTTGGCAGTGTCATGAAGGGGAGGAGCATAGTCATTATCACATAAAGCCAGGGTGAATAGCATTTTCACAACTATGGTGTCAGGAATACATGTTTGTATTCCTGACACTATAGTGTTCCTTTAAGCAAATTAAAGAAACATTCTGGTCACCTTAACAACTTCATCTAAATGAAAATGCTATGATGCCAGGAAGCCCCTGGGTGCTCGCTTTCCTTTAAGGGGTTAAATCGCTCTCAAATGGTTTAACCCCAAAGGCTTCCTCCAGCTCCAGGTCGCTCAGTGGTATTCGGCTTCTGAAACGGAGTGTCAGGAAGTGCAGATTGACGTCAGGCATGGGTGCCCCTGATTGGCTAGAGTGGTCAGCTGACGCTCTAAGCCAATCGCTAGTTCCCGATTCATAATTTTTTTTACGTATTTATGAATGGGGAGTTACTGATTGGCTTAGAGTGCCAGCTGACCGTTGTAGCCAATCAGCGGCACCCCTACCTAGCAGCCCTCTGGGTTTCCTGACACTCAGTAAATCAAAGTGAACACATTAACACTGATCTGTTTTTTACCTGGGGAGATGAGAAGGTCCAAAGTTTCCTGCCAGGCCCAGGTAACAAAGCCGTATGATGTGGTGTCGAGAATGAAGTGGAGGGATCACTTCACTTGTCCTTCCTGCTCGAATCTCATTTTCTTCTCCATTTGACACAAACTTCTTTTTCTTCTGACACTGTCTTCTCTCCTCCTTGGCTCCTTCTGTTCCTTTACCTTTCTGCTACTTTCTGCTTATTTTGCGCCCTTCTGCTCCTTTCTATTTCTGATCCCTTCCTGCTCCTTGCTGACCCTTCCTGCTCCTTGCTGACCCCTACTGCCCCTCCTGCCCCTTGCAGACCCTTCCTACTCATTGCTGACCCCTCCTGCTCCTTGCTGACCCCTCCTGCTCCTTGCTGACCCTTCCTGCTCCTTCCAGACCCTTCCTGCTCCTCCCAGACCCTTCCTACTCCTTGCAGACCCTTCCTGCTCCTTGCAGACCCCTCCTACACCTTGCTGACCCCTCCTGCTCTTTGCAGACCCTTCCTGCTCCTTGCAGACCCTTCCTGCTCCTTGCAGACCCCTCCTACACCTTGCTGACCCCTCCTGCTCTTTGCAGACCCTTCCTGCTCCTTGCTGACCCCTCCTTCTCCTTGCAGACCCCTCCTGCTCCTTGCAGACCCCTCCTGCTCCTTGCTGACCCCTCCTGCTCCTTGCTGACCCTTCCTGCTCCCTGCTGACCCTTCCTGCTCCCTGCTGACCCTTCCTGCTCCTCGCTGACCCCTCCTGCTCCTTGCTGACCCTTCCTGCTCTTTGTAGACCCCCCTGCTCCTTGTTGACCCTTCCTGCTCCTTACTGCCCCTTCCTGATCCTTGCTTCCCCTTCCCACTCCTAGCTGACCCTTCCTGATTCTTGATGCCACTTCCTTCTTCTTGCTGACCCTTGCTGACCCTTCCTACTCCTTGCAGACCCTTTCTGCTCCTTGCTACCCCTTCCTACTCATTGCTGACCACTCCTGCTCCTTGCTGACCCCTCCTGCTCCTTGCTGACCCTTCCTGCTTAATGCTGACCCCTCCTGGTCCTTGCTGACCTTTCCTGCTTCTTGCTGCCCCTTCCACTCTTCCTATTCCTTGCTGATCCCTCCTGCCCCTTGCAGAACCTTTCTGCTCCTTCTACTTTACCTTCCTGTAGGCTGTCTCCCCCCCATCCGGGGGCGTTTTAGCCGTGAGGCAAACAAGGCATTTGCCTTGGGCGGCATTTTTCAGGGGGCGGCAAAAAAAGCCGCCCCCCAAATGCCCAGGGCAAATGCCTTGTTAGCCTTGCGGCTAACAGACATGCCGGGCGCTGGGTGGGCGGCTTGCGAGGGAGCACTTCCTCTGAGCGGTCTGCTCAGCTCCCTCGCGCGTCGCAGAGTGAGGCTGGGAGCCGGAATATGACGTCATCTTCCGGCTCCCAGCCTCACTGTGCAGCGCGCGAGGGAGCTGAGCAGACCGCTCAGAGGAAGAGCTCCCTTGCCAGCCGCCCGCCCAGCAGCCACTGGACCCCAGGAAGAGAGAGAACCCCCACCCCCAGCATTCCCAAAGGTAAGGAGGCTGGAGGGGGGGGGGTTAAAACAAAATACATGTATTAATGTGAGTTAGTGTGTGTCTGTTAGTGTGTGTGTCTGACTGTTAGTGTGAGTGTGTTTGCCTGTGAGTGTGTGTGTCAGTGAGTGTGTGTGTCTGCTAGTGAGTGAGTGTGTTTGTGTGTCTGACTGTGTGTGTATGTTTGCGAGTGAGTGTGTGTGTCAGTGAGTGTGTGTGTGTGTCTGCTAGTGAGTGAGTGTGTTTGTGTGTCTGACTGTGTGTGTATGTTTGCCAGTGTGTGTGTGTGTCTGACTGTGTGTGTATGTTTGCCAGTGAGTGTGTGTGTCAGTGAGTGTGTGTGTGTGTCTGACTGTGTGTGTTTGTCTGCCAGTGAGTGTGTGTGTCAGTGTGTGTGTGTCTGCTAGTGTGTGTCTGTGTGTGTCAGTGAGTTTGTGTTTCTGTTAGCTAGTGTATGCGTATCTGTCAGTGTGTGTGTGTGTGTGTATTTAGAAGGCGGGGCGGGGGAAGGGATGGGTGGGGGTCGCGCGCGCAGGGGAGGGGGGCGCCTGAGTTTTGTCCTGCCTAGGGCAGCACAAAACCAGGATACACCACTGCCCCCATCTCTCACTTACCTGATCTGTAGGCTACACTCTGTGCTGCTCCCCTGCAGATGCAGTCAGGAGAAAGAAGCAGGGATAAACTTTAGCTTCCTATCCCTGCCTTTCTCCATTCACAGCGCCGGTATTGCAGTTTATTATCTCACAAATGAAAAATAGCAGCACAAGCTGAAAAATCCATGGGGGGGGGGCGCAAGTGCCCCCCCTTGCCCTCCCCTGCAGATGCCTATGGCTAACAGGATTATTCCCTAAAGTCCATAAAAATGGGGCAAAACCATTTGTCTTTGTACGGGGCCATTCTTAATGGGTTTTGCAAATCAGGCTCCAAATGGGCCTGAATTTGGTCAACATTTCAACTTCATTTCCAGGTCAAGATGTTAGCAGCCACCAGGCAAATAATTAGCATCGGCAGTTTAAGGGTTAATTCTGTGACAGCCACGACATGAAACAGTTTAAAAATAAGTAGGTAAAAAGCCCATAGGTGTCAATAAGACCCCCACATTACTATAAGGGACGTTCTTATAGTGCCCCCCTTTACCATCTCGCACTGATTAGGATCCCTGAATTCCTTCTGTTAAAATTAATTAACCCTACCTAACTCCTTACCATAATAATAGAGAGGGGGAAAAGACCTAATACCTGGGGGGAGTCTTCTTTCTTATTGACCCAATAAGCTTTATATGTTTTTTTTATTTACGTACTTTTCTTCATATGGTGGCTGACTAACGAGCTAATCAGCTGACACATATTTAACCTTTGCACCACCAAGGGTATTTAACTATGTGCCTGTTGGCTGCTAATGCTGCAAGTGATAAATAATTTGCAAATGTGCATCGTGCTGGATGAATTGGATGAATTTGGTACCGAATCTTAATGAAACCGGTGTTTTATGAATCTTCTGAATCCTATACGTTGCATAGAATTTGGATCTGATAGCACTGATTTTAATCTGGACACTGAATCCAGCATACAGATGATTGCTGCAGATTCGTGTCGGCCGTTCAAATTGCAACCATATTTGGCTTTCAAAAAAAATCAGGGTTGCCTTTGCAGTCAAATTATGTCATTTTCACCAGAGTTTGTTCACCCAAACAAAATCTGGTCTGTAGTGAATAACATCAGTAGTAAAGAATAAGGAGGGAATTGAAACCTAAAACTGACACATCCCTATTCACTTCACTTTAACCAGGACTTGCCTTTGGGGTGTGCGAGCTGTGTGGTCGCACAGGGTGACATGGCAACAGGGACATCTGATAGTGTGCACTACCAGGTGGGATGGGCCGAAGTAACTGTTGATACTGCTGCTCGTCCTGGGAAAAATGCAAGCTGCAGATTCCCTAGTGGTTTCTGGTGGAACGCAGTCGCTCGCAGTACTGACTCTCTGTGAGGGTGACAGATGGGAATCCCACTGACTGCACTTTGACTCCCTCACAGAGCACCGGACCAGAAGGAGCAATTTACGTGTCTGCTTCATGCATTCCACCATAGACTGCTGGATGCACTAGGAACCCATCGGACCAGCAGGGAATGTATTATTGCCCCCCTTCCACTTACAAATGTAATACCATTGACTAAAAAAATACTTTAATTACATCTCTTTGTTTTGTGGTTAATAAGAATAGAACCTTTTAAATGGTTGGAGGTATTGGAGGTGGTGTGAAAAGGGAGGGGTGCGGCCAGAGGGGGCGCTGTAAATATTTTTTGCACAGGGCGCCTGAAGGCCTAAGTCCTGCCCTGACTTTAATCTTATAACAAGGGTCTTCTTTTGTCTTGGCAGCAAGCTCTTAGACTGACAGTTAACCTGGGCGGGACATACCATAGTTCATTGTGAAATTGACTAGACTTGTTTACAAATCGGTTTCAGCTGGTTTATATAAATCCAATTCATCTTAAACTACTTCTGAATGAACCAATACATCCGGTCTGTTTACACCAGATGGAACGCGTTTGTGTATAAGTCTAAAATTTACCTTAGTAAATACTCACACAGATGACAAATCACACAGATTGATGGCAAATCTTTGGAGAACCAAAGGCTGTTGAGAATAATTTATAAGGATGCCAGTTCAGTCATATAGAAGAGAAAAAAAAGGGAGGAAACCGCGCCTTACATGGGTTATATATACATACACTTGATGTCTCTTAGTAGTTGCGGATAATTTATCCTCAAAAAGAAAACAGAAAAAATATATACAATAGTGTGATATGTTTAACAATATTAGAAAAAAGTGATAAATAGAACGGAGGTATTTTACACTCACATTTGGTAGAGCTACTGTGGGAGCTCTACCGTGATTGGCATGGACGGTACAATCCCTGTCTTAGGATAAGAGGTCAGACGTCTTAGGTACTCCAATGGTATGGTGGTACAGATAAAATGGAAAACAAGAAACTCCAATAGTGTAGTAGTTCCAACTCCAAGTATAAATAGATAAATAAAAATATTTATACTCACATTTACTAGAGCAGAAAACTTGCTCTAGTATATAGGGCTTGCAGTGGTATAATCCCCACTGTAAGATATACAGGCCAGGAAGTTTGATGGTGCAAATAAAATATAATGAAATTGAGTATAGCTTTAAAAGATATATTTAATAGTAGTACAAACAGAATAAAATTAAAAGCTATATAAAATATCACTTAACGCGTTTCGCCAATGGCTTCATCAGAAGTTCAGTCATATGACTGATTTAACAACATTGGACGCAAAGCATAACTGCTGGAGTACCAAACGTAAGGCACCAATGTCCTATTTGTTTAGCCATAAATCTAATTCTCCTTCTAATTAATGAGAATTTGCTCATTAGAATTCAACTTTGTCTTTGTGTATTGCTGTGAGATGGGAGTTTGCAGAGGGTTTATGCTTTAAGCTGTGGTCAGTTGGTTGGTGCCTTGCAAATGTTGAAGAGAAGATGCCAAAGTTAGAATACATCTCAAACTGTTTTTTAATGATATTCCCCTGGTTCACCGTAGTTGCAGGACTTTACAAGATCTAATCTCTGTGATATTCAATAGGACACATCATGCCGAGGGTAAATAGGGTGATTTAGGCATACAAAGTGAAATTTGAATAATCTTTCACAGAGCTCTATAATGCACAATGGGAACAGTTCAAGCACTATACCTACTTCAGCTATCTGCAGTGGTTATGGTGCTAGTAGAATTCTGGCATCCTCCCTCATTGTAAGTAGCCAAACTGTTTTAGAATGGTTTGACTTTTTACTTGGTGTCTGCCAGGCACAGCTCCCTGCCTCCACTACCTCAAGCAGAGAGCCACAACCTATTTGTATGATCTAAACCCAGGTGGTGCAGGACTCTACATTGAGTTTAGCTCAGGATCTTTGCTTTGCGTAAGAGGGGATAAGGGGAGAACAACCGTTTGGTTTTGGAAATAGAGAAGAGAGACACAAGGTGACTGGGAAGAGAATCCAAGGGTGATGAGTGAAGTTAATACAACAGGACATTGATGGAGTGAAAGTAAAAGTTAGGAGGAAATAGGAGAAAAGGCCGGAAGCGGGAGATGATCAAGATATACACTTGTGGTGAAAGAGACACAAGAAGGGGAGAGATAGGGAGAGAGTTCAGGTGGTGAACTCTCAAGATGAGGAAAAGATAGAGGAACATAGGAAGTATATTTAAATGTAACACAAGTGGTCCATGGAGCACCCCATTACCAAAGAGCACAATAGATCCAGAATATGTAGGTATTTATTGTCCTTTCTTGTCTACAACAGCAACTTGTATCTGGTCAAGTGATTCAAAAAGACAAAAGTCGGTCTCCACCCATGCTGGGTGCACTCCACACTCTCCATCGACATGAGAACAATGGAAGTCCAGCGCACAAGGAGAAAATGAAGACATATGTTTGAGACTGTCATCCCACATCAGCAAATAATCTTGAATTTCAGTCTTCTTCTCTTTTCACCTCTCATTACAGCCCGCTTACTTAATGTCTTGTATCTCTAAACATGGGAGTAGAGAAACTAGTATGGTAGATGGGAAGACATGAATGGAGGGATACAAAGAGCCACCTGTGGGAGGAAAAAAACTGGAAAAAAAAACTGTGCACAACAGGAAGGTAAAAAAATACATCCAGAATTACACACACTTGCAACATACAAATACAGACATTCTAACTACAAACATACTCCTTCATTCACATACACAGTCTTGCACATTGATACAATCCTGCGTCCACAGACACAACACATAAAATGACATGACATCTGAGATTATAAAATGCCATATGCGATCCTTAGATGTAATATGGAATACAATTATATGACAAACACAATGGAATATGCAATGAAACGACATTAGTGATCCAGGGAGGTAGTAAGTAAAGGTTATACTATAGAATGAACTACAACACTGAGTGAGAGATGAACTTAGACTTATAAAGGCACAATTTGAGAATGTGAGAGAATAGGGTGTGATGTTTTTCTTCACTTCATAGATCAATGTATAGGATTGTGGATCTAACAACTAACTGGTAAATAGCTGTAAATTAATAAAAAAATTAGCAAAAAATGGGCCAAGCCAGCTGAGTCGGATAGTCTTTGTAACCCAGTTGCCAATTCCGAAAAAATCTACCATTTATTGATATGCCCCTTTACGGTGTCTATTCTATAGAGGAACAGCTAGTATTGCATGGTTCAGTGACACTAGTCTATTCCATGTGCATCATTCAGGCCCCTGGTGGAATCTTAGATGAATCATCTCAACGTGTTACCTGTTCACTGAATTTTTACCATCCTGTGTTTTTCTTGTTTCAAATTTGCTTTCCATAGTACTACATTGTTTGCAGGAACACTGCTGTTGATTTGAACATTTTATTTTTAATTTTTTTTGGTTGGTGGTGAGTTTCTACGTCTTTCCGACTACACTGTTAATAAAGATTACTTAACTTACCTCTCCGCATTGTAAATTCAGATTTCAGCTTTTACCTGTGTTCTATTTGTAACCTGGCTTAGTCGGACAAGCCCTGAGATTTGATTTTTAAGAACAAAGAGGTAAGAATTAACATGTTCTAGATTTTTAAACTCAGTGTTGTCATGATGTAACAGATTACACGGGTCAGCTGCTGAGTATTCGGTTGCCATGAGAACAAATAATGTTTAAAAATATTATTATAATTATTTTATTTTTTTTAAAGAAGGTAGTGCTTTTAAAATCATTGCTGATCCTGATTTGACCTAAAGATTAAATACAATACTACCATTAGTCGGTATTGGTCCTAAGGGGCAGCTTCCATCCCCCTCCTATTTAAGGAGGCTTTAATCCATCTCCTTGGAGAGGGGGCAAACCTGCTTAAAAAGCATATTAAATACCTTAATGGTTGTGGTTTGGATTATTTTCATTGCATTTTAACAGCCCCTTAAATAATGGAAAATCAGTGGATCCTGATTTTAGTTCAAGTGTTTAACCACTGACATGCCAAGAGGTTGATATCTCAATTCTGTCAATCAAGGGGAATAGATAAAGAATTGGTCAATAGGAATTGAGAAGACTAGGTAGGGAAGCATGCACTTGTTAAGTGTGGCTGTGCCTAGTATAGACTCAATAAGATAGGTTAATAATAGGAATCATGTGCTGACACTAGCAAGCCATTCATTGCTTCATTGTTCTAGCCTTTAATCTGAGAGGTCCAGCTGGCATAGGCATCTGGCACATGCAAAGGAGACAGAGAAATGTGAGGGAGGGGGGAGGAGGGGTGTACAAACCAGGCATTCTTCATGTGCATGCTTGGTATTACTGTCAGTGATCGATGCAGGTTGCATTCTCCCCAACCCCCTGTCTCTGCATGATCTCCTGTGTTGCTGCAGGCAAGCCTCACATGCACAGAATAAAAGTGCATCTATCTCTATACATGGGAGTAAAAGCTACTGCAAATCTGCACCAGGATTAAAGGGATGTTGCTGACAAATCCCTGCTTCATCTCATAGGAAGATCAGAAAATCTCTGCATGCACAGTTTATAAAACCCACTCACCCTGCACTTTCATTGTAATTAGTGTTGCAAGCCAACCCCATATTAAAGTCTTCTCCTGGAAACACAGAAGGCAATTGGAATCTGGAGGAACTGAAGCTCACAGACATTATTTGGGGCTAAAGATGCATTGTATCAAGTACTTTCCAGAAAGCACTGTTTGATTGGGGTTTCTTTTCTATTTTCATTGTATCAGAGCAAATTGCAAAGTTCCCTTCCCCCTCTTTCCCAAATATATCCACTCACCCTACTGAGAAGCCCTGCATTCATCTGCAGATCAGCTGCTTCACAGGTTACTGTTGGTATCGTGGCAAAGCACACACTGCTCTGGATATGACCAGCCCTTGGTCCTGGGGCCATGGGATTCTACCTACAAGCGATGGATCTTGCTTGTTCTTCTGGATTGTGATAGATGTGTCTGCTGTGAAGAACACTGAGCTATCCTGAGTCTGTCTCCTGGAAAGGTAGGCTGCTGCTGCTGTCTAAATCTCTCTGCTGACTAAGTAACACGTTTTGTCTCCAAGTTAAGTCGATTTCCAGACTATTTCTTACACATGGTGGGAGCTTCTGGTGTAATTTGCACCCTCACCTCTTTGTGACCTTGCAGAGAGTTGTTTAAGAACCTCTGATAGCGCCCTCTTCAGACCTCTTGTCAACATCTATACTGCAAACAAGTAGTCTCTGCTGAGACATTGTAGTATAAGGTCTGCCTATACAGGTGAGTGCCTTTCTAGAGCAGGTCTAGTGTGAGGGAGAAGCTGTGAGTGTGAGCAATTGTAGTGCTTCAGATACCCCAACAGGAATGCACAATGTCTCCCTGTGCCCATCAACACACACTGTTATACCTGTCAATAAAATGCAGGTATGACAAGAATAATGACATATATCAAGGTACAAGATGTCCTCATAAAAAGACACACAGCCCATGTAGTTATCTGACTCCGTGTTCTTTTGACAGTAGAGAGGGGTTAATTCTAAGACATTTCTATTCAGCATGTCCCAGTGCAGTAATGTCTACCAATTAATCACTTTGTGTCTTGCTAGACTGCTTTTCATTCATTCATTCATTGCCCTCATGGGAGAACTAACTGCTCCTTTCACCACATGTTAAAATATGCAGAAACAGGTGAAGCAGAAATATTGATATATCAGAATATTGAAATGTGATTTATAGCTAGTGTGTCCATGCTGCATATTAACTGTTTAACTGGGAAGGAAAGAGGTTTTCTCATGTCAATTGAGCATAAAAATAAATATACCCCTCTTCAAATAAGAATCCTATGTAAATAAATAAAATGATATGCCACATCTAGGAAGTCATATTAATATAAATTGGGGAACGTGGTAAGATCATATATTGGTTATTTTGACTCATGAGTTTACTGTCATTTTTTTTTTGTTTGTTTGTTTAACAAAAATGGTTTCCTCCAAGTTTTTAAGGAGCAATAATTGATATCTCAGTTTATACCAGTAATTAAATAATTTGAAATTTAAAAAAAAATAAAACTAAAATAACGACTGTTGCAAAGTAAATAGTGTACATGTTCCCTTTTGATCAGTTCTTGTAATAGTTGTGAAATAATAGTGTAATTTAAAGCTCCCCCAGAATCAGTTTATTGAATTTTTTTTTTTTTTTTTTATAAATTTATGTCATACACACACTGGGCTATGTACAGAGAGTCATTTCTGGAATAAAGTGCTAAAAGTGGTGCAATCTCCATAGAAACGTTCCTGCTACTTAATACAATTTTAGAACATAACCACAAACTGCTATTTGTATAGAGTCGTCCAACTGTTAGTGGACTGCAATTCCTACAATCCATAACATGAGCACTGCAGCCCAACAGGTACTGGTTAGCAGACTGCCCTATCCAAACCCAGTTATTAATATTTGTATGCAAAAGATAATGTGTCCTTGGACTCAGTGTTTGGCGTAGGTCCTCTGGCATTATGAAAAGTCTCATAAATCACCCACTTGGCCAAATAGGAGGACCCTGCTTGCCAAGTCCAACATCACACAGAGTATTAGGAGACACGTCATGTTCTTAGTTCATTGTTTATTATCCTTCCCAATGCACGTGTATTATGGAGAGCAAGGAATAAAGGTCCAAAATCCCCCCACCACCTCCACCACCACCACCACACACCTCTCAAACAAAGTGAATGGACCATCAGCAGCTGACAGTAAGTTAACCTTATCCTTGCCAGAACCAGTCAAAGCCCCCCTCCCTCCCTTTCCATCAGCTCGGTTAGTAGCTGGAAGCAGAGGTGGGATGCAGATACAGCTCAGGCGTGAGCAACAAGCACTTTTCAGAGAGAGAGGATAATCTGAGATGCCACCAGGAACATTTTATATTTCCAGAACCCATATGGAAAAATAACTAAGGCGATTAAAGAGAAAACTCACCCACTTCCCAATAAGCCTGGTGATCTGACTGGGTCCAGCACTGAGCAGGTGGACTGGTCTTGTTTTCACTTGCCTTGGCAGAGAGGATCAATGTGTGCTGGCTCTCTGATCCTCCCCCATCGGTCCATATCTGATCAGCAGAGCTGAACTGTAGCAATGTGCTGAGGGTTCCATACAGAACGAGGACCACAGAGCGTTCTATGGGTTCTCCTGACACACTGCTCTCCTGCCACTCAAACAGCCGCATCTTCTCCAAACCTGTGAGCATGCATTGACCGGAGTGCACTCCATACTGTCAATTTCTAAAAGGTATTGAAGTGAATGCCATGTTTCATTGTGATAAACCCTACCCTGTCCTGCAATCCTCATGTGCTCTGTAGCATGGTGTGTGTATTAGGAATGCTGATGTCTGTGATAGCTTGTGTACAGATTATCCCCTTGTAATATGCACAGAAATCTAACCATTGTTAATAGGAAATACTACAGTAACAATGTAATTAATAGATCATTTCAAAAACTATTTACTAAGCTTAGGTCATTGTCCCCAATTACTGTGTTTTTTGTTTCAAAATGAAATGTACAAGGTTATTGGTGTTTATTGTGTACACTATGCATCACCTCTGCAGTGCTCGTTTTAATAGCCTTAATTTGGAATGTGTGCTGTTTACATCATAGCGACATGAGAGAGCCTGTGCCCTGAATTTCAGGACCATGGAGAGCTACTTTAGCCTTGGAAAAGTTCATTAGGCTGAGCAGTCAATTTCACCACATCCCTTCAACCACTTTGCATTGCAATGTCTTTCTTTAGTGGTCAGTCTCTAGTGATGGACATATGTCTACCTTGGGGGTTAAAATATGCACAGCCCCTGTCTTTGATTATCAGAATCTGTGCCTCCTCTTACTCACCGATTTAGAATATGAAATGACTTGGTTCTTTAACATAACAAAAGAATGTAAGACATACCATACATTGAATGTGAATATTTATACTCCTATTTATCAAGGATCTTATCACTGAAGAAATATTATTGTATTGCAGAAAGATCAATAATTGCACAAGGAAAATTATTAATTTCCAATCAATCATTATTTTTCAATTGCAAATCGTCAAGGTCACGTCATTTCTGAGGTCGATTTGTTAGACGACTCCCACTTCCTATGTCTGTGTGTTTTAAAATCTATTAAATTATCTTAATGGGATTTGTGCAAATCGAGTGTCATACTTTAAACTTGAAACACAATTTAAAAAAAAATAATTTCTAAGTGGTAACCAATGATAAGACAAAATGGTTCTGTTGAAATGCCATTGCATTTTTCACCACAGTTGATTAGATGTCATAAACAACAGGTTACAAAAAAAAGCTCCTATGTTTATTGAATTTTCTTCGAAGCCGAAGCATTGAGACAAATGTGTGATAGCTAAAAGTCTTTACATTGCAGTGTGTTTAAAGAATTGCTGGAACAAGGCAGTTCCCTTCCAATACATGACTTATAGACATTTCTGCTACCATGCAAGTTATCTAAAATAAAAAAATAATAAAAGGTTTCGGAATAACCAGCCTCTGCTCTAAATGTGGGTTAATATCTTCTTACTGGTTTCAAAGCACCAATAAATAGGAAAAAATGTTTGTAGCAGACGATGTGTGGGATCAGTAGTATTATACTTTAGAAATATAATATGCTTTGGAATTAAATATTCTCTGATAATATGACATGCAGGAATTTCGTATCTCCCAAGAGAACGTGATGTTTGACAATGGTAGAACGCTAAACTACCTGCTGCTGATTTAAACAATGATTGCTATTTTTTATGAAAATCCCCTATCCCAGTGTGGAGATAGAAAACTATTCTAGTTTATTTTTAGGATGAGCATGTTGAAAATTGGAATCTACAGCACCAGATTTATAATAGTCCCCTATATCCGATATTTATAATTAACTCAATACTTGGAATTTTTGTTTTGTTGCCATTCAATTAGTTTTGCGGGCCCCTTTGACTTAAACAGGGGCACCGGATGAGTTTCGCTTTGCATACTCATAATATGTTACCTCCCATAGTTACACATGGAAATGGATTTAATGTTCCAAACTGAACCACATGAAATAGCGCTGCCAGTTTAAGATGATGACATCAGTCATGATGTCTTGTAAACTGTAATTAATGTCACAACATAAGAGATTTCAATTTATCTGTTATTGCTCTATTCCCCATACAAAGAGAATGAGCCATTTTTTCAGTGTTTTAAGTCTCCATCAATTTAATTACAAACCATTTGGCAGAAACAACATTGGAGTATGGATACACATGTTGTATCTTTGCTGACAAGGTGTCTGTTTGCTGTTTACATTATTATTTGGCCCACAATTTGTGATTGTTCCTTTGTATTTTATAATATATTAATCATGACCCTATAGCCGTACATAGAGACACAGTGTCCAGGAATTAGAATGCTGTCTGATTGTTACTAGTCATTATGCTAGTCAGTAACATACAAAAGTCACAGTAGCTCTATGCACAGTGTACTATAAGCAGTATTTATTATCTGTCAATTTACTAATCAATTTATGTTTACATCACAAAAGAAAATCACATGTTCAATATATGTAGATATGGTGGGACTGAGCACTCTAGCAGATTACCTTGCTCTGGTACTTAGTCACATGTAATGATAGAAAGACACAGAGATGGATAAAAAAATAAATAGAACTCTCACTTAATAATATTTACGAGAATCCAAGTTTGTAACCTCGTTAGTGAAAAACATTAGTGCAGTATAATTACTTTTTATGGAGGCTGTTGAGTGTTAGCCTTTTTTCCAGCATAGATAAATATTCAAAAAATGCACACATACACACACGCAGAAGAACAAAGACATTTTAGTGCATTTTTTTTTTGTACGTAAAGCTAAAATAAAATAAGCATTTTCAGAGTCTACCAATGATCGAACCGTGGAATGATTTAGGTTTTGAAATAATATAAAAATGAATTAATTATTATCAATCTGTTAGAAAGTTTTTAATATCACTCTCTCTATAGATAGAAAGAGAGAGATAATTGTTTTCATTATATTAATAAACATCTTGAGTTCAAATGCTTGTTTCTCACAGTGATTTTGTTACAATATGTAAAAGCTGACTGTGGAAACATTGTCAATACCTGACAGAGGTCCAGACAGAGTGACACACCTTGTGGCCTGCATGACTCTGTTAAGTGGATAATGCGTCAGTCAAGCAGCAGTCATTACCTGGCTGTATTCCACTGAGACTGGATATTCATTATCCTGTGTGCAAGACAGTTGTGTATGCTGTAGAGTATTTTAAAATTAGGATGTTTTATTTATGAAGTAGGTTTGCGTATGTAAATAAATAGTTTGAACCAAGAAATGTTAGCTTTTAAGAAAGAAAAAAGAAAACGTATTTCATATACAATGTTTTCACAGATTGAGTTTTTTAAATGTACTTCAATGTATAAGCTGCTCATTGTACAACACCACAGAATATGGTGGTGATTCATAAATAATAATATTAATACATTTTCAAAGTTTTAGTAAAATCGATTTTGTCTGTCATTCCATTTAAAGAACCAATTCCCTTTAAACTGACAACTGACACTTGGTCTCTATAATCTACCCTACTTCTATCTAAGGAGTGAAGTTAGGAAGAATTTCAAACACTGTCTGAGTCAAGGTGCAAGTATGTATATGGCTAATAGATCCTGTCATATAATAAAGGCTTTCATCTCATTGTTTTACAAATACGTCATTTAAATCTATCTAAATTCCTTAGTATATGTTTTACATATACTATATACATATCTCATAAAATATACAACTCTTGTATGTTGTATGAATTGGCCCCAGCAGCACCCTTATAATGTATGCATGTTCAGGCGAGTGCAGCACTCTTGTGTGTATATATATATATAGATATATTTATTATATACAAATACCGTCCTTGCACACAGGCTGAAAATATTATAAATTGCCTGTTCCACCAGTTGTGCTAACAGTAATAGTTTTTAATATATGCCATTAACATCTATAATTTGAGGTTGATGTATCCCCATGACGTTTAGGAGGTACCCAGTGCATTACACACATCACTTGTTAAAACGGAACTGTGATGTTTACGTTGGTGACATTTCCTCTTATCTCAGCTCGGTAAACCCTATTGAAGTGTAAACACTGAAATTTCAGACAATCGGTGCCACCATCTTACCTAGGTAATTTGAATTCACATTATATTCTAGATATATCTGTCCCATGGTTCTGTGCACACACTGAATGCTTGTCTATGCCAGCACTACCCTGCATTCAACGAAAATACAAATTAAGAAAATGAAAAATTCTGTATATTTTTGACAGTAGCACAACAAATGGCAAATTGCTAGTTGTGCCATTGCCTCTGAAGTGGCATTTCTCCAATAAAAAGTAATAGCAAACAGATGCTAGGAGATCCTACATAAAGCTGACATTGGTTTGAGAGATGTTAGGAGTTGATACAGTATTATGGGATATGTATGTCAGAAAACTGCAGGATTGAGTTTGGACAAAACAGAACTAGTCCTGCAAATCAGGTCTTATTTTCTTTAGCGTAATGTAAGAATTTATCAGATCACTTGTTCATTTCAGGATGGTCAAATTGTACATTGGAAAATGAGCACATTAACTTGCCATTTAACTATTCAAACAATATTTTATTGCATTTATTGAATTCACAAAGTTCCGTAACACTTCCTCAACAAATATACTCTAAAGTTTAATATGGGGGGAAAAAAAATCGAAATATCAAATAGCATGTAAACATCAAATGTAATTGTATAATCATCCCCAATAGTCAATCTGCAGGCACTTAGCCACTTTCAAATTGAGTCCGTCTTACTTTAACCCCTTAAGGACCAAGCTTCTGGAATAAAAGGGAATTATGACATGTCACACGTCATGTGTCCTTAAGGGGTTAAAAGAAATAGCATAAGAATTCATCAAAAGTGACGTTGTAGTTAAGCATATAGACTGTTGTTCAAATATACTTAAAAAAAATTAATTTATATAAATATATTCTCATTCTATTTATGTATGCTTTTTGCAATAACTGGGCTATAAAAAGTTTTAGACACTTTGGGTCTGTCATACTTGCATAGAAGCAGACATAATCTTTTGTTATCATATATTCTAGAATTATAAATAAATGGTCAAATATATTGCTTTTATGTAAGAAACCAGAGCTTAGAAAATTTAATTTTCTAAA